GCTGTTCCAATGCAAACTGTGTCTTATATTGTCTGTGTAAGTGTGGGACAAGGTCTCATCTATTACACAGCAACAAAACTGAATGAAATATTGCTGGGAGGGTTCAATCTCTACTGCCATTCCACCAACATCCATCTCAGATGCTGTGGGCAAACATAATAAAATAGGAGGCATTACTTTTACAACATCTCCATATAAAGATGACAATGATTAATGACAGAATTTCTCCAGAATTGTGGCCACAAAATCTGTCTTGATGCAAGTTAAAAGACTAATATGCTCAACGCTGGCATATAGAATTGGAGATTTTGTTCTTCCAATCTCTATTTCTTTCCTTCAGTTTATGAATGCACTTTTTCTTTTCAGTTACTTTGTTTTTCAGTCATATAAGCCTTATGTATTTAATGCAAAAGAGGCACAGTTTCCTTAACAAATTTGCATATGCTTGTTCAGAGAAGTAAAGTAGGATAACATTCTCCTGCAGAAGGTGTATAAGAAGTGAATAAAATATATATAATGTGATTTCTTTTGTCAAATAAGCACATTTTTTAGCAGTTCAATTGTACACTGATTTTGTGTATTTATGTTTTTTTTCTTAAAGGAAACAAAAACATTATGCAGTGAAAACACATTCATTTTTTATCCTTTTATAATAATGTTTACCATCCTTAAATGTAAATTAGTGATTTACACCTATATACTTATATACAAATCACAGAGGGAAAGGAGTTAATACCACTGTTTTTCTTCTAATTCTTTCAGTGTAATCTATAGCTGCTACAATTATGACAGATGTTACACTCAATATCACTGTTTTGATATTCCTGCCTAAATTTACAGAAAGCAGAAATAATCAAGTATGGATTTCTCAATTCATTTCATTTATGCATTGAGAGAAATGCCAGTTTAAAAACTAGGTCTAAAAATTTGTAGTGATACTAATGGAAAGGACTGTAAAAAGTGCTATAAAAAGTAGTCAGGTTTCTTATAAGGTAAATCTAGTTGCTGGAGGCCTGTGCAGATAAAATGAACTGTGCTAAGCATACAGAATATTTATATGTTCAGGGAGCATACTGCAGATTCTGTTGGGAAGGTCATGACTGGTTTTATTGCATCCATTCAGCTTGCTGACAGGCCTACCTTTCATCAGTTTAGAAAATGTCATGCCAGGTAATGTGTGTAAGACCAGTAAAGACTCAAGGTCATGAATCATTGATAAAATAGAGTTTTTGTATTTGCAGAGTAACGAAGATCTTTATTGGGAGCTTTAATGGAGGCAGAGATTCACTGAATTGTACACATAAATAATGTCTCTATGTCAACACATTTTCTTCTGCTTTCTCTACCTTAGTTAAGCCCCAGATTTAATTAAAACAGTGATTAAAACATCTGTATCTGCATACTCAAGCATAAGATGTGCCACACTCCTAAAAGAACAGAAACACATGCCGGTCATATTTTTGCAAACGTTTGTTTTCCTTTCAAGCCAGACAAGGCTGTGTTTCATCTTAACGATGCACACAGACTGTACCTCAGAAGTGGTATTTCCTGGGTCCAAGGGGAGTGCGAGTGGGTGTTTCTGAAAGCTATGCATATGGAGTATGTGCTTGTTTTCCTTGTAAGGAGTGCAGTATTTCTCCTTTTTGGATACATTGCTACAAATATGTAAAAACAGGACTGGAACTTTCAGTATTGGGCAGTGTATTTGCTCCACACATCTGTTTGATTGTTTTTTAAAATGACCACTTTAATTTAATGTTTCATGTCCATCTGCTAATGTTTGTCTTCAAGCTACTGCATTCACTTATTTGAGACACTGCCTTGGTGGAGGAATGAGGTCAGTTTGGTACCACTGACGTCAGTGGGAACTGTGTCCATAATTTCCAAGGAAAGGGATCTAGGAACTAAGACTGAAGTAGTATTGAATACCAAATAGTGTTCCTCAGCAAGGCAACGTAATTCTTCTCTTTCTGCTCATTCTTTTTTGTTTCTTTTGCTGTTGGCCCTGGCTTTTATCCTCTCATTTTCATAATCATGTGAAGCCAAAGTAATCTCAGGTATAAGGCTGCCAAACCAGCTTTGGATTTCTGTGACTGTTGTGACTCTTACGCTTTGAGTGCAACAGTGAGGGCCAGATTAGCTCATTCTTACCAGCTGAGATGCTGGGCGGCTCATTAGTTTGGCTGATCCGCCTCCTATTTAACCTCAGATGTTCCCGTGTGAAGACACGTCTGCTTGCATCATGGCAGGTATCCATTCACTCATTAATCACTTTATTTTCTTTTCATATCCATTCTGCCACAGGTCACACTTCTTGTTTCCAATACAAATGTGAAGTGAAAAAATCACATAACCACTCTGTAAGAAAATGTGTGATCAAATGCTGAGAGAGTAGGAGAGAAGTGACCTAGATGAAGCGGTTAAAAAACAGTCCTCCACTTAGAGAAGTAAAGAATAAGATCAGGGTGCACAGCTGGCAAAACTGTGGAGAGAAAAGGGGAACTAGATATAAAATCTTAACCTCCATGGTGTAAGTCTGCAGTTGAGAAATGCAAGTGATTTTGAAGTGGCCGAACAAAAGGGATAGAGAAGTCAAAATAATTAAGTGGTAAATTCATACTCAAGAACAGTGGAAACAAATGATAAGTAGAAACAAGCAAAATACACTAAATATTCCTATCTGGAAACCAGGACAGATGGCCAGGATAATGACTTGACTCACTTTCAAACATTTTAAAGAAGGAGAAGGACGATAGGAATAGTGAGGGAAACAAGAAAATCAGAGAAGCAATGAAAGGCTTCAATGGAGCAGTTTCACTTTCTGCCTAATAATCTAAAAATAATACTGCTCCATATGTAGATCAGGCAAACTAAAGCAATCCATCAATGAGAGCAAGCATCATTTATTTTAATATATATATATTAATGTATATATATATTAATGTGTATATATATATATATTTAATATATATGTATTAATATATATGTATTTATATGTGGGATACAATGGCTTTATTTTAAGTAATAATGTGTCTGTGGGATGTTTTTAATTTTTGTTCTTTAGTAGCACAGGAACTGGTTCCTTTCTAATAAATTTTAGTAGTTTCTTCCAGACTGGTTTTTAGTGTTTATTGTGAATTTACCAGAATCTGCATGAAAATAAAACTGTAGTCATTGTCTTCTAGGCAGTGATTTGTAGGAGAAAAAAGGAGAGCATTTTCTGTTACAGTTACTGATATCAGAGCCAGCCAGATGATTGCAGTGTGGGATCTTGACAGAGAGGTAGCAGCTCAATGCACTGCTGCTTCATCTGGGATAGAACAGTGTCCAAGGAGCCTCAGACCAACAGAGAAGAGATATTTTTCACCTCAACAAGATGTGTTTTGGAGCAGGGCAATCTGGTTCATAACCTTGCTGTCTCCAGTATGTTTTTGTGTGCATGGTAGTAGCAGCACATAGGAGTATAACATCTGGATCACTCACTTATCCTCATCCACAGATGAGCAGTAAAATCTCTTGAGTACCGTAAAGCAGCAAAAGCATCCAGAGGATAATTCAGCTTCTAGCTCATCTACTGTCTACTATAAAAGGCAGTAACTATGCCTCAGTCCCTGTTACAGCCAGCAGAGCCTATTTAGCCATGCAGCTTACTATGCACATTGGTGGTGGAAGAACTGAACAACTGTAGGCTAAGCCTAGGCTCTGGAATTGGTGGGCAGAGATCATTATAGACTGCAGTGGGAGCAGAGGCACTTGCTGATGTGTGGACACCTGGATCTGTAAGCTGTTCTTTGGATGCTGCAGCGTTGGCAGGGCTGGTGCATCCAGACTGATTTCTCTGCTGTAGGCAAGCTTAGTGGCTGAAGCCTGTGTTTCAAAATGACTATATACACAGCATCCCTCTGCCACTCATTCAGGTGTCATAATTTCTGCTAACATATAAACAAGGGCATTAGAAGATAAGAAAAATAACATTAGGCCATTTGTTCTTATAAGGACTAATTATAATATCCACAATGGTTATTTAGCATCCAATTCACTTCACCTATGCTCCCTTCTGTGTTTCCTCAATGTGTCCCTATAAATTCAGTTTACAGAGGTGTGAGGTCTGACGCAGGGCATTTGAAATTTGTCTGAGAGGGGAGAGTTAATTTTTGTATTTGTGATTGTATTTTCTGCTACATTTAACAGGACTAAAGGATATTGTTAGCTTATAAAGAAAAAACAAACATGTCAGCTCAAATTCCTGTTTTCATATTAAACCCTTACTAAAAAGAAAAAAGAAAAAAAAAAGAAAAGAAAAAAAAGAAAGAAAAATATTCTTCTGGAAGCAAAAGTCCTGGAATTTTCCACGTCTGGTTTAACACAGACTGACGAGAAGACTGTGTGCTTGTGGTTTAAATGGGATAAAGTTAATATGGCTTCCTGAAGGTAATCTCTTTCCACAGTGATAGGATGTAGTGCTTCTCTTTTTAATTAGAGAGGTGGGTGGGTTGGATCCCTAAAATTTAGATTTGGGTCTGGGTGTGGATTTATAGACCTGCTCTCCCAGCAAAAGCTGAGACTGATTGTGTTTAGGCCCATCTTTTGAATTAATTTTCAGTAATTAAAGTGCAATGTGTGGGAGGGGGCTAAAATGAAATACAATTAAAATGTAATGCTCCTTCTTTGGTATCCCCATCCTTATTCATTTTAAGCCATCTCCAATGCTCTGATGGGTTTAAAGCTTCCTGTATCACACACTGTGCAAGCAGAAAGGTTTGAGTGAACTCTTGCCAATGGCTCTGAGCAAGCATGGGGCATGTTTCAGATTACACTGTGTGTTGTTGTTCTGATTTGATCTCCTTGCTAGGAGAGGCTGAGAAAGGCCGCTCTAGGGGATTTACTTCCAGCAGCAGCAGCACATGATCCTTCAATCGCGTGATTCTCACCACCGAGGTCTAATGGGGAGGGTGAAGAAAAAGCTCACGCTGCCTTTTGGAAGCAACAGCGGCGGCTTCTGCTCGCAGGCCCCCTCCGCCATCTGGATACTTCATGGCCTCCCCCAGGTTAGAAACCTACTGCTGCCCCAACAGGGATGCAGCCACGCAGCTTGTGATGAGCTTCCAGCCCCAGATCTTCTGTGCAGTCTGCATTGGCAGTGCCTCAGCCAGCCTGCTGCTGACCATCCTGCAGCTCCTGCCGAAGAAGGGGCAGAGCCTGCGGAAGATGCCCAAAGCCTCCTCCTCCTCCACCATTCTTCTCCTTATCTCCGTGTGTGACATCCTCGGTGGCTCAGGTAAGCGCCATCTTGGTGTTCCTTGCGTGTGCTGCAGCAGGCCCTGCTGGCAGATGGTTGGGAACGTGCTGCGTGTGTTCAGGGGAAGGTTTGGGCTGAACAAGATGAGAAAAGGGCAGGCCTGGAGGGGAGAAAGGTCTTGCTTAATAGCTAAGTTTTAAAAGTAAAAGTTCTTGGCAAATCTTCAACAAAGTCTCTACTTCAAATTAAAACCCTGCACTGGCTGACACTTAGAGGAAGGTGTAGAAGCAGAAGTGAGGGAGCACATGAATAACTAAAGCTGACTTCCACAACTTAGCTGATCCTTTGGACTGCATTTGGAAAATACTTGCATGTGTCTGTAAATCCTCTCAAACAGAGTCAGTGCCGCTGTTCACATACCAACCCGAAACTGCACACAGCAGGCTGGCAGCATGGTGTGTAGAACTGCAGCACTGTGCCAGCATGGGGAAGCAGAGAAGCACCCTTAGCAGGGAGCCCTGCCTCCAGCAATGGGCTGTCTAAATCTGCCCTGGAATTTACTGCCATCTTAGACAGAAATTATCATGACATATACGAGGGAAATAAAAGCTGAGTTTTTCCACATTAGCATCTTTTCTCTCATTTTAGATAACTGAAGTAGTACTGTTGTGTAAGTCTCTCTGGCTGCCTGTGAAAGGAGTAGGGTTTTACACATTTTCCACTTTCACACCTAGCCAGGTCTTCTCATGGTACATAAGAAGAACCAATATTAAAACAGACGATGGATGGGAAGATAGAGAAAGATATGGAAAGAGCACAAGAGCACCTGGAAAAAGGCCTTTCAATCATAGAACCATAGAACCACAGAATCACGAAGGTTGAAAAAGACCTCCAAGATCATCTAGTCCAGCTGTCCGCCTACCACCAATATTTCCCTACTAACCATGTCCCTCAGTACAACCCCTAAATGTTCCTTGGACACCTTCAGGGTCAGTGACTTCATCACCTCCCTGTGCAGCCCGTTTCAGTGGCTGACCACTCTTTCAGAGAATAAATCTTTCCTAATCTCAGTCAGATAAAGCCAGCAGCAGAAAAAGTTATTTTTCTCCTTTTCTCTTTCACAGGCAAACAAAAACTATTTATCCGCAATTGTTCTTGAATTAGATTCACCTTGGAGGGTGGGAAGCACGGTGTGCTGGTGCTGTGGGTTGGTGCAAACTCACTAAACCTCAGGAGCAAACTGAATTCATGCAAAAAGCCAGTATTGTTCTTACCTAATAGTGAAACCATGCTTTTTTCAGCTCCTTGGCAGAGAGGAAAAAAGCTGCTTGTAAAAACGAGGACAGAGAAAAATGTTAAATAACATTCTTCTGAAATGAGGAGTTGCAGAGAAATGACCATTAGCAATATGAATATCTGTAAATTAAATTGTAAGTCATTAGTTGCTGGCAATGCAGATACGTTAAATGCCTCTTGATTCCCTTTAGGGAAGTATATGACAGTATCTGTAGATAAATGAGGCTTAGATCTTTGTGGCATGACATGGCGAGTCCTCCAGGCTCACAGCTGCTTTCTGTAAGCCCTCACCCTGGCATCTGGCCTGCACTGCACACCCCAATAGCCACAGTCCTGTGAGCATGCAGAATCCAGGCCGCAATGCAGAACATGCGACCAGCAGCAAGCATGCGACCGTGATCACGCTGACAGGCACAGAGCACTCATGCGTTTCTCTTCAGGTGTGATTTTCAGGTCGAGCGTCTGGTTGGGCTTCCCGAGCTTTGTTGCCAACATCTCAGTGGCCAACGGGACTGACGTGTGGCCCTCTGTCTTCTGCGTGGGCAGCGCGGTAGGTACAGGGGTACAGTGCTGCTTGCTTTGCTCACACAGGATCCAAAAGGCAACATACTGTGTCCCAAAGGGGGTTAGAATTTCCTTAAATCCCTGATTCTGGATTCTGGATTAAGGAACATAGAAAAAGAAAATGCAAATGCGTTACAAAAGTGCAAATTTTAAGTAATACAATCACACTATTGCCTGAAGTATAAAATCTGAGCTTACTATACAAGAAAAATGTCACTTTTTTTTTTTTTTTTTTTAACTAAAACACAGATAATTATGCCAATTTCCTCAGCTCAGTAGGAATGTAGGGTAGTCAAAGAATTCACGCATCAGCAATAATGGTAGTATCTTAACAAATCAAGGCTTACAATATAGAAAAGAAATATGCTGCTTATAAATAAAACTATTCAGCTCTTGTAGTTTTTAAATAAGATGTGCCAAAATGCAACTTGCTTTATTTCATATGCCTAAATAATAACAATTTCAGACATAATGGCAGAAGCGAGTATCAGCTATACATACCTATTAGTTCTCAATTTTCCATCATACATGTTTAATTTTTGCTTATGAGTTACAAAAGCCTATTATTTTTTTTCTTAAAAGAAGGTGAAACTGCCAACATCAATATCTTGCAGCAGGAATGCCCTGTTTGAAAACCACGTTTCCATATGGCTTAAGTTTTGCTCTCTGGCCCTTACCACAGAAAGTAATATTTTAAAGCAGTGACAGGGATGCTGTATGCAGACTGTTTGTTTTTCATTTTGATCTCAGGTTAAATGGCAAGCAGCAGAGCTGTCTACTGCAGTTTTTGTTTACTCTTTCTTGGGCTCCAGGAAAGTGCTGCAGTTTGAGTCACTTGCTAAGTTTAAATTTAATTATATTGGAATGAAAAATGACCCTACTTCCCCTAACATATTCTCATGTGAGTTAATAAAATGTTTCTGGTTCTATTTTAGGTTTCTTCTGGTGCTATTGTTTTATTTCATTTACACACGAGTCAGTGAAATTCCAAATAGTGAGGCTCTGAAGTATCTCCTTCAAATGAGATCTTTAGATAGATACTCTATAGCAAGATCTGGCATTTTGCAAGAAGCTAGATAGCATATGAAAAATTTGTTTTTTAGCTGCATCTGCTTTTTATTAATTTTGGCGACCATCTAAACTATGTTGGAATTTATGTGTGGAAAGACCTCATGGTTTATTTTTGTATGTATGCGTTTATATATAGTAAATTCTACATTTCTTAACTGCAGCAAATATGTAATAGTGCAGATTAAGTTACATACTGAGCATTGTGAATAAAGTGCACTAGCAGGAAAACTGGAATTTTATTTTCTGGCTTATGTATTATTAAAATGTCTTAGCATTTTGATTAAATACAGAATAATTCATGTCACAAATGACTAGATATAGGAACTACACCCTTGTTGTAAGGAAGTATTTCTCAGCTTGATTTACCTTTGGAGGAAGGAATGGTAGAACTCAAGTCACTGATGTCTGGCTCAGTAACAAGTATGTTGGTTTCCAGGTGTAAAAGGATGCTACTATGGAACTGTGACAAAGGATATTCAGATACGAGCTGAAAGCAGGGCTCAAAGGGAAGGTATTCTGAATATTAAAATAGTCCCAGACCATTACAAATAGCCAGCTCCTGTCGGGAAAGGATTTGGAATTTATAAACAGGGTCTAAGAGAGGTCAGTTATCTTCTATAGGCTCATGGGAAAAATGTATAGGGTCAACTCAAAAATGCAGTGGAATTTAACTTGACTTGAACTTGTTTCCTTTGGATTTTTGTAAAAAATTAGCTATGGAGTTCAGTATGGACAGAGTTGGCTATTTTTCTGCATATCATCTTTATCAGTAGTAACACCAACTCAAGTTCTTGAATGTGGATAAAATACCCATCACACACAGAACTCATGATACAGAGGCACTTCTATTCACCACCATTGTGGTGAAGGCAGACCTCAGTTATATTTTCATGCCTCAGCTACTGAAAAATGAAATTTTACTAAAATGTTATACCGATTTTTTAAAATAAAATGTTCATTACTAATCTTTAAAGTTAAAACGCTGTTTAATAATTTACTTTAGATTAATTTGTGCCATTCAGGGTTAAGACTGGAGATGTAAACAAACACCAGGTTTTCTAAACAACTGAACAAGCTGTGAAGGCAAACTGCTCAGTTTACCTAGGAGCACATCCTTTGGCTACAGCAGTACTGCAGTAAGAATTCATACCTCACAAATCTCAGTTGGAAAATGCACACATTTAAAGAACAAATCCCCAGGCAAAAGGTTTGAGTCTCCCCTCACCTCCAGCAATGTTTAAGAAGCAGCTGTGACATTTGCCTTTTTTTTCCTTGCAGATGTGGATCCAGCTGTTATACAGTGCTGGCTTCTGGTGGTTATTTTGCTATGCTGTTGATTCTTACTTGGTGGTAAGAAGATCAGCAGGACTGAGGTACTAGAATTAAAGCTCTGAATGTCCTATTTTACTTCTCATGCTGTACATCCATGTTTGCATGCAGCTATCTGAGGGTATAAATGAAGTCTGTGCAAACACGTGATGTTCGCATGGTTACCAGATAATAATCTGTGTGAATGGTGTTCTAAGTGCTTCAATTGCAAGGGCAATGCTTGGATATTGATTTGCTTGTGCCTAACTAGCATTTAAATGTAACTGAATTTATTTAACTTTCAGAAAAATAGGGTGTAGATTGGGCATTATAACACAACTGCAACAAGATGCTGTTTTTATCTCTGCTCTGTACTTGATATTGATTTTTGTGGCAGAAGTGCTGACATTAATATAAAACAGCAATGAAAGATTTTTTAAGCACAGCGGTATGATCCTCTCTCAGGTGGGAGCAGTGTCTGACTCTCCAAATCAAACAGTTCTCTGCAGCCTTCAGAAGGGTGCTCAGTTGGCTGTTTGGCTCCCTTCTTCTGTTTTTTATTCCTGAATGTGCTGTTTGCAGGAGCAGTGAAGGACTCAGGGTTTCCTTCTGCAGATGTGGGAACAGGGGAGAGACTTCTGGCCTCTGGTTGGAGGATATGACACTTCTGTGTGCAAGCCTGTCCAGCGCCAGGATTTCCCTTTTCTCCTGAAAGGCCCCTATCCCTCCTGCCCTCCTCAGTGTGCTGCTGGCATTATTCACCTCACGCCTATCCTATGTTAACATTGCCATGTTAGTGTCCTTGATAACCTCTCTCCTGCTTCCTCCTCCAGTACAATCGTGCTGTACCACATGATGGCCTGGGGGCTGGCAGTTTTGCTCTGCGTTGAGGGCGTTGCGCTGCTTTATTACCCATCCCTTTCCAGGTGAGCAAGCCTCTGAAAGCAGACTCCAAAACCCTGGTACTCTGTGGTCATTTGAATGTCTTTTCATCAATGTTAGAGACAGACATCCAAGTACTGGTTTTTTGGTTGGGTTTTTTTTTTTTTTTTGATCTTTGAGCAGTGTCTCCTACTCAGTCCATGCATCCTGGGTTTCAGTGGGCCCTGAAGATATCTCCCAGACACTTCATGCCCTGTGATGCATTTCAGTGCTGTGGTGCAGCTCCTGCTGTGAGCCGCTGCAGGGTCATGATGCCCAAGAAGGGGACATAGTGCACAGAGCTGCTGCAGGCGTGAAATACTGGTCCACTCCTGTTTTTCTGCTCCTGGTTTCAGCTTTGTATTTACTCCTTTAAATTTGAGGACAAGTCACAGATGGTGCGAGTTAATAATCAACTTCGTGTCCCGTGTGAATTCGTTGTGAAAATTCGAGAATTAAAAGTTTAGCACCTCTTTGTTTAATTCCTTTCATGTTTGTTTTCTTGTTTGTTTTTGGTTTTAGTTAAATGTGACAATGATGAAATAGCTGAGACTGTCAGATGTGGAAAGAAAATAATGAATAATGTGTTAATAATTTGTTCTCAGCTGTGAAAGAGGCCTGGAGCACGCAATCCCACATTACATCACAACCTATGCCCCGCTCCTGCTGGTGCTGGTGGTCAACCCAGTCCTGTTCAGAAGGACAGTGACTGCAGGTATGTTCCTAATGGCCAGCATGAATGCGTACATCTTATTTAGCAAAAGAGAAATAAAAGTAAAGTAGAAGTAAAAAGTAATGCCTGTGTATCTAAGGGGATGGAATAGCTCCTCATTATATCAAAACAGATGCAGTTGAGAGTAGAAGAGTATTACCTACCAAAATGGAGATACAATCTCAATAGAAAATTAGAATAGAGGTACACTGATCACTTACTGAAGTTAGGCTGTTTTAGATCTTACTATTGCAGACTGGCAAAGTTATTTCCATGTTACTAAATTACTTTTGATTTGAAGTATTTTTGGCAGCATATGGTGGATATATGATGGTACTACAATACTGGTACCAATGTATATTTTGGAAGGATCAGAATTTTGTTACTCCTGATTCTGAGATTATGAAACAAGTGAGAATTGTACACAACTCAGCTGAGATCATGAAGCTCCTGTTTGATTTAGCATCCGGCACTTTGAAGAAATGTGACTGCAAAAAAAGGAACAAGTTCAATTAATTCTTTTAATGTAACATGATCAGTGCTAGATGTTTTCAGTGCCTGAATTCATACTTGCAATCTACACATTCAATATTTAAGAACAGCAACAGAAGAGACTGTGTTTTGAGTTCAGTCTTCATCCCATCTGCACTGCTTTCCTCAGTAGTGCCCATCATCAAAGGAATAGCTGACAAAATCCATATTTTAAAAATATATTTTATATGTAGAATATCTGCCTGTTTTTGCTGATGTTACACTGCCAAGTTTTATAGATGTAGACAACACTGTACCAATTACAAATTGAAGTACAACTAATTACCTTTATGGAGATAACTTCTATTTTTTTCACTTATCTCAGAGTCCCAGAGCGCTGCTACATACTTGGTACAAAAGACAAACCATATTTGCATCGTTGTATTATCTTAGTTTTGTAACCTGCATTTCTGAGATAGCACTCAGCAAGCCTCTGCCTAATTTATACAGGATAATGGTTTTTGGTTTTTGTATTTTAGTTTAGAATAATGTCTCTATGCATGAGCAAACAGAAAACAAGTGCTACCTCCAAAGGCTGGGACCAAAATGCTCTATAGGGAAAAGATAAGCTTTAGTCTAAATTTTAAATAATCAAAAATACCTGTAACTGATGTTTTGGTCTCTAAAAACAGTCAGTAAGCTGACTCCTCCACTCTGCATTAGCTGCTGTATTTGGGTAGAAGGCTTAGACTTTTTTTTGAGTGTATTGAAATCAGTAGTTAGGTAAATGGTAAACTTACCTTCTTCAGCATGTCCTATAGAAGAGAGGACAATACATTTTGTACAGACAGCAGCAAAGGTCTTCAATGAGAACATAAATAATAAATGTTTGTGCTTGTATGCGACGTGCATCCATGTGTGTTTATGTATGTGTGCATTTTGTAGGTATGTGCACATATGTTCATATGCCTCTGGCAGACTGTGTGGCTAACGTACCTACATGTACAGCTACTTTAATGTTTGTGTCTGTATTACCTCTGCTACCTGCTCATGTAGGTGCTAAGGATCAAATTTTGTTTCATACATTCAGAAATGCACGTTGCTAAAGATGATGTCTTGTGTCTCCTTGTTCTAAAGTCTTGCAAGCATACTTTTCTCAAACATCCTGCAGTTTCTCTCCACTGTCTAATAAAAGTGATGAAGAAAAGCAACAAGAGAACAACAACAAGAAAAAAAGATTTACATCATGAGACCTGTAGAATGTAATGAAGTGGGAATTTAGCTGTTTCTTAACAACAGGATTTCTTTTTGGCTGTAAAGAATAGTAAATAAGCATTGAGCTTCAGGTTAAAGAAAGGATGTTGAAGTAGTTAGGGAGCAAAAAATGTTAAGGATAGATGGAGCACTAGAATCTCTTGGCTGAGGAATTCTTTGTGTGTTCCTGATTTTTCAGCTAGTTTGCTGAAGCTGCAAACAGCCATACCTAGATCTAGCTGCAGTGTTTAGAGGCTGAGAATGAATTGGATAATCTCTCAAAGTTTGTTCCTTTTATGGGAAAATACACAATGAGTATGTTTGTGTGAGTACATATGTCGATTCCTTGGTATCTGAGCAGTATGTTGCTTATCTATCTATTTTTGTTGACATTACAGTGTCAGGTTCTACAGATGTAGTAGTCAATTATGTCTTCATGTCACAGTTCCATATGAAGTGTATAATAGTGTTGACTGTATTCTGTCTCAGTCTGAACATCACATAATAAATACTTCCTTACATCACGAACATCATAGAGAAGCGTAAGCACTACCTTCTTGTTAAAGAATTGTGCTGACCATACTATTTTCTGGTTTTGATGGGACTGAGAGAAGAAAAAACTGCTAGTGGGATGCCACCTACTTCAGGAAACCTTAGTGGATGTCCTTCTTTAGGATTGTCCTAATCTTTAGGATTAGGCTATGTATGACATTTGCTGCTGGAGACAAACCCATTGGTTCCTTTGTTCCCTCTTTACAGACATCTGTTTTCTGTATCCTTGTACCTACAAATAATGAGATGTACGTATATTAATGAACACAACTTTATACTTTCCAGTTGCCTCTTTACTGAAAGGGAGACAAGGGATTTACACAGAGAATGAGAGACGGCTGGGGACAGAGATCCAGATGCGCTTTTTCAAAATTATGCTGGTATTCATTGTTTGGTAAGAGATGCATTTTGTTTTAACCTGCCTTCTCCCAGATTAAAACAACTGGGGACAAGAACAGAATCTGACGGGTTATTTCATTTGCTTGTCCTTATGGTTGGAAGGGAAAGTTTCTAAGGAAGACAGTTCTAAACTAGTTCTCAAATTAGCTGAATCACTCATGTAGCATCACAAGGCTGCAAGGAAATGATAAAAATGTTTAACCAACAGGAAAACAATGACACTGAGGAACAATAGCAAAAAAAAAAAAAAAAAAAAAAAGGCTGAATGCAACCTAAAGCTGTCTGAAACTGCAGCAAGATTCCCCAGAGCTCACTCTACATGCTTGTCATCAAACATGCCATTGAAAACTTACAGTAAATACACTTCTAGGGCATGCTTACGGCTCTGATTATGATTATATGATGCATCATCTCTATAGTTTGCAGCTCTCAAGTGTGTGAAACAAGTATAGTGTTGGCTGAAAATACAGACTTACACACCAGAAAGGAAATCTCTGTGTGTTGTGCATGAAATTTCTCATTATCTGATCTTTTTTCTGATATTCCACCTTCCTCCACTAAAATAGCAGTTTGTGGTAGGGCAGGGAGAGGAAGAAGAAGGGCACAAGGAAGATGTGGGAGGAGGGAGGGTGCCCCATACCTCATTCCCAAATCCCCTGCATGTCTGTTCTAGCAGCACCATCCAGTGTGAAAGATGCTGTAGTGGTGGATGGGACTGAAGGTGCTGGATGCACTCAGCAAAACTGAGAGAACTGAAAGAAGCTCTGCTTTAGGAGCAGTTTTACAATCATCACACAATATTAAAGGCACCAGATGAGGGAGTGATCCATGCTATGTGGGCCTCTGCAGTGAGCTAGCAAGACATGGTCACTGCTGGAAAGTGTTCACCTACGTGGGTAACAAAAGCAAGGGAAGGAGGTAGGAAGCAGCCTAGAAGTAGTGAAAAGATGGCCAAATTTCCCAGTTTGTGCAAGTATTTGATTGTTTCATACATGGGTACGTTAATGCATGTTTCATTGCTTTAAAAGGCTGAACAGGGAGAAAGGCTGCTTTTTATTTTGTCCTTGCTGCTGTATATTTGAGTGTTCCAGTCATTTCTCAGGAAACAAGTTTCTTCTGGGAAGGGTGGGATAGTCAGTGGGAGCAGGGCACTGAGAGTAGCAAAGCAGCCTGAAGCATGGCATGCTGGAAATTGCTGTAAATAACAGGGAACAGAGTTTTATCCAGGCTACTAGGGTTACAGAAAGAAAGAACATTGTACTGGAGGCACCACAGAAGTGCATTACAACCAAAGGGACTGTGGTCAGCTTGATACACTGGGAGCAAGCATGAATGGAAGGAGCAACTCCTCATGGACACAGTGGGCTTGACAGTTTATTTCCTTTTTGTCTCATTATGAGTTTTCCTATTACAAAAAAACCAAACCAAAACGCCCGAACAAACAAAACAAGTGGTTCTTGTTTTTTGGTTTTTTTGTTTGTTTGTTTGTTTTTGCTTTGTTTTAATCTGCTGATAAAATGTAAGCTTTAGAGTGTAAAAGCTCAGAGGTTACTGTACAGAAAGGCTGAGACAGAATAATCTTAGAAGCTTAGGGGAGATGCTGTTCCATCCCAGTGGTCAAAAAAAGAGATGAGTTGGTCAAGGAAATTTTGGGCAATATGGGGTAGAAGAGAAAACTGTATATTTGGGAGGGATGAGCAGAAGATTTTAGACTGTGAAAAAAACATAGGATCTGTTTTATAAATAACATAAACACAAATCCTTTCAGAAAATATGATACGGGTGTTGGTCATTTCCTTCCTGAAGTACCTGTAGAAATATGCGGAAAAGCTGTTCTGACTGCTTAGGAGCCATTAGAAATTGGAACCACTGACTATAACCTTTTTTTAGTGTATCATGTTCTCATTTTCTCTTGGAGGATGAGGTTTAATTATGCTCATCCTACTTTAGAAAAAGAAATTGCCTTTATTCTTAAAATTTAATGTCATTTTCAAGGACTTTAAAGTTGAACTTAGTTTTGTTTTGTAGATTTTTTTAACAAACATCTTGAAAATCTACTCAAATATCACCTTGAAATTTTAGAGATGCTGGACTTTATACAGTCTTTTGTAGCGTATATGCATATGTTTGTATTGCTTTAACTGTATTATACATTCAAGACACAAGCAAAAGAAGTCACTGTCCGTAATGTTCCCATTGTAGATCACAGTTGTTTATAATCTCAGTGCAGTAAGCGTGCATGATCAGGTTTAATTCTGATGGATATATGGATTTCTTTGCCTGGGGTGGGAAGTAAGAGTCTGTTTTCTGATCATAAGCTCAGGGAGAACTATTGGGTCCCTTCACATTGAGAATTAATGTTAAAAAAAAAAAAAAAAAATTCCTTATTAAGGTTCCTAATTTCTATAATTTGTAAGTAATTTGTATTTTACATATATGTACATATCTACATATCACTGTTTTGTTCTCTTTGTCCTTTTTATTCCTGCAATAGCTGGTCATCTAATATCATCAATGAGAGCCTTTTGTTCTATCTCGAAATGCAGCCAGATATCAATGAAACACCTTTGAAAAACATTAGAAGTGCTGCACTGATTACATGGATTATAATGGTAGGTCAACCATGGTGTCTCTCAGTCTTTGAAATCACTTCTGTAAGACTCATGGAACAGCACCAGCGTAGTGGGTTTGGGGGAAAAGCTCAGAAAATCAGGGAAGAAAAGTCAAAGGTAAGAGAAAGGAAGGAGCGGTCATTCGGAACGTACAAACTTTGCTTAAAAGATACAAAGGCCGAGATTTTCTGCCATTTACAGGAGTATGTGATGAGTGATTGCTAACCATTTTAAGATCTGGAACAGACCATTGCAAGCATTTATGGTCTACCTTCTCTAACCTCTGTCATAAGACAAGCTGCGAATTTTAGCTCACGTTTCTTGAAGATTTGCCCAAAAAATGGGCATTGTCCACTAATAGTCTGTTTGTAGCTACAGTTTTCTTTATTAGAAACTGTATTTCTATCTAAGAAATAAAGTCTTGTAACATTTGGACAGCTATTAGGGGAAAATACATGATGGAATTTAAAAGCAACACACCAGAATATAACTATAAGATACTGGGGTCTTCCTGTACTTTTCTCTCTTTCTGTTGGAATATTTGACAAGGGATTTTAGAGAGGTGATATTGCAGGTTCCTTTTTCAAGAAGGTTTATTCTGAAGCTGTTAAATACCTGTGAGGCCTGAATATGCTCTGTGCACTTAAGCTCTTGAGCTGCCTGATATTGGAAAGTTAAACAATGCAACTGATTTGTTGCAGCCTTCTCCCTGACAAGGAGTGAACACATTCGTGTGACAGGGGACCTTACTCTTGCTCACTGCGAGAGCACACAGTCAGCTCTACCAGCTGAGCTATTATTTAAACTGGCTGTAAAAAAGGTATGATATTCCTGTGAGAAGAAAGATAACCACTAAAACCATTTCCTTGTCGCACATCCTGAAGCAGTGGGAACAGAAGATTTTTTGGAAATCACTTGGGATTTTCTTTTTCAGTGTCTCTCCCTCGTTTTGCATTCTGTTTTGATGGACGTTTTCACTGGCTTAGAAATCTGCAACAATTCCAGACAGCTCAATTGCGGCTATTTTAAAAAATTTGCCTGGATGTGCTAATGTCTATTCTCATAGATTTGACTTGGCTTCTAGTGAAGAGTAAAATGTTTGCTTTTCTGAATTAAAAAATGTGGAGGTTGTAAGGAATGTTAAAAACTCACTGGGAATTGACCAGCTAAAATTCATGCTAGAAAACCATTTGATGCCTGCTGTTCACAGAATCACAGAATCACAGAATCGTAGGGGTTGGAAGGGACCTCCAGAGATCATCGAGTCCAACCCCCCTGCCAAAGCAGGTTCCCTACAGCAGGTCGCACAGGTAGGCATCCAGGCAGGTCTTGAACATCTCCAGAGAAGGAGACTCCACCACCTCCCTGGGCAGCCTGTTCCAGTGCTCCGTCACCTCACTGTAAAGAAGTTCTTGCGCACATTTGTGCAGAACTTCCTATGCTGCAGAAGGTGCACAAGGAACACCTTAGTGTTCAGAAACAACAGGTTGTAGTTTTTCACTCTGCCTTGTTTGTGTCTGCAGTAGGAAAAATGTACACTTTTATTTGCGTGCAGTTATCATCTTCTAAAGACAGCAGTTATTCAGAGTAAGGGAAGTTGTTAATGCATGCAGAATGTTTTGCTGGAATTGAGAATGAAGCCTTGCTGATGTAACTTGTGTTGCACTGCTCTTTTCTAGGGGATTCTTAATCCGATGCAAGGCTTCCTCTTCACATTAGCTTTCTATGGCTGGACAGGATGGAGAGTGGACCTGAAATGGCAGAAGAGAGAAATACCCTGGGAATCAATGTCCTCATCAACGGTGGGTGACAATGACTATCCCTCACCAGTGAACTACCAAAGCAATGTTCACGACTCAAAGAAGATATCTTCCACTGATAGCCAGCAGACTGATGAGGCTATAAGCATGTTGTCTGAAGGTAACACTAGCGGTGATGACAGGTTGACCAGGAGCTCTCCCATCTACCAGGGCTGGTAGCTTGTAGGTGGAGAGCTGAATCTCACTTCTCCCATTGTCAAGACTCACAAAACCATGGCACTGTGTGAATCATTGCTCATTCTGAAATTTGGTTTGTGCCTGATGGCTCAGTTTAATTTCCTGTAGCTTTTGTTCGTGTGTGAGACTGTGTAAGATGCAGAGAAAAGATAGTTAATGTCTTCACTTGCTTTGTAAGAGATGTGTAGCAAGTTACAAAGGCCTGATAGCTTTTAGCAGGACTGTGTCTCTGCAGGGATCTGTTACTTATGATTCATCTGTTTTCTTTCAATCTCTCCTGTAACCTCCATATGGTAGAAGAGTCTTTTGTTTAAATAAACAGACTATTAATATGGTGGTTTTTTAAATGTCTTCCCTTGCTTGCCTTGCTCAGCATAAAATTCCCTGAATTACTGCTCTGAAACACAACTTCCACCCTTGTAAACTACTCTAGTAAAACATGAGTGACAGCAAACTCGGCCATAAGGACAGACTTCCCTGCTTGTGCAGAATTTCACTGTCAAAGTCTTCTTTTAGCTTGTTTATATTAATTTTCAGCTTGTTTTTATCTAGGGAGTTGAATGTGTTTTAAAACAAATTCAGACATGAATTGGAGCTGAGGCTTCAAGAAGGTTTCAGAAAAAGGGCTCCAGTTCTGCCGGTTCAAGAAAAAAACAGCTTTACAGATTATTTTTTCAATTTGAATTCAGTTTGATCCTTATATATATACCTGTCAGAATTATGACTGATAGTTGCATTAAGAGATAATATTTGCAAAGAACATTGACATGATCCGAGTGGTCATCAGAAAAGAATTAATAGAATTAATAGTTCTTTCTCATCAAAATAGAATTAATGGAATCAGTAGTTCTTGCTCCAACATGTACTCTATTTTATGCCTTCAAGTTGCAGAATGGAGAAATATCACATCTACTCTCCATATCTCCTGAGTTACAGATCTCAGTTTGTACAGTGCACTAAGTACCCAAACAATTCCTAAACTTGGTTGAAAAGTTAGAAGAAAAAAAATGATGATGATGTCTCTTCCAGGCTTTTAATCTCGTATCAAAGTTAGAAATGACACAGCTAAGCACAGTCCTCCTGGGAGCTGTTTACCAAACAAAGTGACCAGCAATTCATTAAAAGCCTCTCATCCTCAGCTAACCTCTCTCCCTTCCTTCCGTACGTGGCCAAGTCTGGGCATAAAGCAAAATTTACTCTCTAAATCCTTTTATATCTGCTCTGACTGAACTTCACAGGCTGTCCATACCTTTCTTTTAAAACCCAATTCAGTCTCAGCTATTGTAACAAAAAAAAAAAAAAAAAACAAACCACAGAACAAATACAGCCTGAAAGACAGCTGAAAGGTTAGAGCAATTGTAGCACAAAGTCTATGCTGCTGTGTTACTCAGGAAAATCCCAGGATGGTTAGAGAAGCAGACTTGGTAGAAACTATACAGTAAAATATTGATTCACTGTTTAAAATAAATTGCCTTCTTGAATTAATCATTTAAAATGAAGGTGTGAAACAATGAACTGGTAATTAGTTGGGCAGGTCATTATAGAACTGTTGTTGGTTTGTAGTAAATCATTTAAATTGTGCCCTGTGGAAACCTTTGTGGTTCTATAGCTTTACATTCCTGTTTTAGTTGTCGGAAATACTGGCAGATCACCAAATCTTCATTTTTAAGCAGTTTCAGTATTTTCCCTAGAAATTCTGTTCCTCTGCCTGTACGGTAATTTCTTTTCTAGCTAAATGTTGAGAGAAAGCACAGGGACTCGGGAAGCAGAGCATGCTGATCTTTATGAAACAGAGACACATTTTCTGTGCAAGACTCATCGAAGTATGGTTTAAAAGAGCAGGAAAAAGGCGGAGCTGGAATTGTTGGTAAGCCTTTTCAGATGCTAGGGTGTGGGCCAAGCTACCAAACCCGAAAACCAAATAAACAGCCTCTGGCTTCGTGGGAAGAATCCTGTGACACACAAGCACTTGGGAGAGGCCCTGCCATGGGGCTGAACAGCTGGTGTGTTCAGTCCTTCATTTTGCTGCTGCAGGGTATATGAGGCACAAGGAGAGACATGGCACCCACCCCTGGGCAGTGCTTTGCTTGCCTTTTTTTGGCCTTTCAAGGCTGTCCTTGAGACAACAATCTACTAGGGTGTTGTGAAAGATTAGGGCTCATTCAAGTGCTGAAGACAGACAACTAATCATAGTTGCTACATTGATAGCATTTTTCTGACATAAAACAAACGGGTGTTGGGAGAGTTCTCCTATCTGCTGCTCCCAACTTCTTGTGGATATACATGAGGTATGCATTCCTCAAGAGCTTAATGAAATTATCATGAAATGATAATCAGTTCTGCTCAGTTGCAACCATGTGTGATTTAATCCCACACAAACCTTGTTCTTGCCTCGCCATATAACAATGTAAGAAAAGCATTGCCTTCTCCAAGCCTTATACAGTTGCCTCTTTCTTCCCATCTGAAATCTACTTTCAAGGTAAACCTCCTGATTTCCCCCCTAACTGTGCTATGTTGTGGATCAGCCTCCCATGTTTACTTTTGGGCAAAATGAAGTGTCTGCTCCAAGAGTCGGTGAGAGCCCACTGCTACAGACACTGTGACCTGTACAGCCTAGCTGGAACAGCAACCCAAGTGCTACCTTGTTAAGTGTAATCTCTGCTGATAGGAGCTTTGTGGTTAACAGCTTTCCTGTAGATGATGTTCTGCATCTGCATAGGCAACATACTGTGTTAACTTCTGCATCTGGCTATGTGGTGGTACAAAGGGTCTCTTCAAAACTGCTTACATTAGGAGTGTACTGGCAGGCTGCTTCCACTGCCTGTGGGAAGTGCTTGCCTCTGGCCTGAATGTTTGCTTTCTAAGCTGTGTTTCAATTATGGCTTGGATTACAGGGGAATGATCTTGTCAATACAAATACTAAAGTCAATAGATGCATGCAGAGTCTAAGTCTTTGGCCTTAACTGTGCCTCATCTGCGGGATCAGCTTCCTCTGTTATCGCATCTCATCCATTTATGAGCAGGAACACAGATGAAGCGGAGAGCGACTCAAGAGAGACGTAAATAGGGAATGAGACAAGAAACTGTCTAATAAAATGTTTGTAGCTGAAATATTATGTTTTGGGAGCAGAGAGATGGTCAATTTCAGTTTATTATGTCTATTTTGGACATATATGAGCACAACAAAACCCTCCAGTATTTGTTGAATGAAGAAAAGCTGTATTTTTTCTTTAAAGCTGAATCTGTGCACTGAAATAAAATTGTGCTAGTAGAATCTCATAAAAAGGATATTTATGCCCACAAGGCAGTGCAGCTGAATTGCCTCTATTTAACACTCTCCTCAACTCCCAACTAGCTTCTCAAATCCAACCATATATATGAGGCATTCTCTGTATTGCCCAAAAAGTTATTTTTAAGCTCTTAAAGATCAGAAGAGAACTTCAAGGAAAGGCATCCTTCTGTACCCTGTAACACTCTTGTAAACACCCCTTCTCTCTATAGGTGGAAATGAATGTATGGGCCTGTGTGTGACCTGTGAGTATTCTGCTATTACTGTTTATATGATCAGATGTTCAGACTAATTGCAAAGTTGAAATAGAAGCTACTAAATAATAAACTTCTTGAATAGGCAGACTTGTTGCATACCAAAGCTCTGCATTTTGAGGCCCACCGTACTGTCTGAATACCAAACACCTAGCTACATCTCTCATTAAGCCCTTCCTCTGGCCTTGTAGACCAAATAGATGGGGAAAACTGGAAAATGAAATGCTAGACATATTTTTTCTCTTCCCTGTATAACAGGGTTTGACTTGTAATTCAGAAGTTGTCATCAATGTATATTCATGGAAAAATGTATGTCGTCTTCTACAGTTCTCTTCATTTTCACAGATTCCTCAAGCCTGCAGTATTTCCAGGTGGAAATCACTAAACTACACAGTAGTTAATGTAATTTAAAGAAAGATCAAGTGATATCTGGGTCACTTATCTGTTAAGGAGTAAGCATGTATCTGTGTGAACATTGAGGTCGGTGGCTGAAGAAGATGCAGACTTACAGAGAAAGAAAAGAGTGAGCACAGTCAGATCCAGGGATGATTTGAATCTGTTTTGCTGTGTGCTTTATATTTCCAGAAGACTGCTGTCAGTTGTGTGGAAAGTTGGTTTGCTCACTCTACCCTACTAAACAAACTCCCCAACACTGTGAGATTTTAACTCTGTACGTATTTGTAGGTAAGATTTTCAAAAGCTGAGAAAATTCATTGAGTGACAGAAACATCACACAGAACAAAAGACCAGAGCAATATAGAGCACTTTCTTTCTTCCTCACAACCGACAATAGTGGGTATTTCCAGCTCTTGCAACCACTGTGCGCTCATACTACACAAGATTGAGAGTTCTAGAAAAGAAACCCAGCCATTCCACCTCAAAAGAAAAATATTGTGACCATCCCCAGACCTTTGGCAACCTCATGATTTAGACTGTGTTCTCAGGTACTCTTCCCTTGCCTCCTGCTAGGTTTGTTTCAGTACATCACACAGCAAGGACTTGCTTTGTGCAACACAGAGGAAACGTCCATAAGATGTGAAGATGGTATCCACACATAGAGAAGCACATGTTTAGAGCGGCTGGAAATGAGTTCAGGCTTCTCTGTATTTTACAGAAGTGATTATTTTGTGGTTAGTGGGTGATGAAACAAAATAATTTTGATGGGCTCCTTCAATGCCTTGTGTGTCATGTTTATTCTCTCAAACTAGTATGGGATGAGGCACATTTAGGCCAATTCTTTTTATTGGGGGAGTAATTAATGTGACCACTTGGTGACTCCAAAATGTTGTTATCTATATCTGCTTCTCCAGGACTGCATGGCCAAGCCTACATTTCTCTCTTTTTTTCTTTCAAAAAATGCACCTTGTACAGGAAGAATGAAAGGTCAATATGCAAAATTACATTAGAGGACTCCTAGAAATTGGTGTCTGTTAGTTATCTGTATTATGGTCAGGACCTTATGTGCCCCAACAACTGTCATACCCTTAGTTTTAGAGAAAACATGTATCTGGGAAGTTGGAGCAACATAAAAGCAATCCATGGAGTTGGAGAGTTGAAGCTGGAGTTTAGTTGGTGAAAGCCAGGAAGTGAAGTGAATGTTGCAGTCAGAGTAGCTTAAATGTGTAGGAAATAGGAATGCCAGCTTGTGTAGGAGTTTACATAGGACATGTTTTTTGAAGTTAGTAGGGACTGTGGATAATGAAGGAGAATTCCCAGGCAGGGAGGTACCTGTGCATCACGAGGAAACAAGCAAAAAACACTTCAGAGTGAAAGTGTCCCAGATTTCCCTTTAATCCCTTCAGAGCAAGTTAACTTCTGATTAAGGTGCAATGAGCAATCCTGCTGAAATGGAGATATCCTATGATATTAAGTGATATATTCTGGGTAATGTCCAGATAAAATTAGGGTTTTGCAGGCAGAAAGTCTCAGCCATGAAAAGCTGCATGGCTTCTTTTAATCAGTAGGATCACTGAAAGTTATTTCAATCACTATCAAGCATGATGTGATGTACTGCAGCTAAAGAGTTTGGCCACAGTGTGTAGCATTTTGCAGGTACTTAGCAGAGATTGAGGAATTGATTGCTTTTGTCCGCCAGCAGGTCCTCAATCTCCCCCCATCAGGGAGTTTCTCATTGTATGCATTTCTGGAAAAGCTTTGGAGAAAAGAATGCCACTTTTACACAGGGAACTGCCCAGGGCTCTTTTGAATTTATTTCCATTTTGTTTGGTCAAACAGGTTAAAATCCTTGTAGATAGACCAGGCACATGCTCTGCTTTAAAAGCCAACAAGGAAAAGTTCCATCATTCTGTATGAAACCAATTTGATTTGGGGGGGGGGAGGAGGGGAGGAGGGGGGTGGAGGAGAGGCAGTGGGATGGGAGGAAGGGAGAATGGAAATCCATTGTCATTGGATGAAACTGTGTTGTCTTTTCTGAAAACAGTCTGCAGCCTTAACCCAGCTCCAACTATTTGGCAGGAACTGCCTGGGTCCACTTTTCCCAGTCCTTGGCTTGGAGGCAGGGTCTGGAAGCACCTGGGCCTGGCCAACAGGTCATATCTCATGGTCTTGGAATGGAGCAGAGACTCATCAGGTAACCTGCCAAGGTCCCCTCCACCTCCTGTCTGTGATGTAAAGCCACTGTTAGGTCTCTTAGTTAGGTATAATGGAAATTAAAGAAGTTTGTGGTATCTTTTCTGAGCTGGGAACACAGGTAGCATTTTCCAATAGGAGCCTTTTCAAGATTGTGAAGACTGATTCACTTATGGAA